AGGTTTGGTTCCTATTTCCTCTTAGGTTTAGATTTTAAAACCATCCAATGCTAGCCTGTTGCTCTCACCTCCTGCCTGGGTTTATACAGGTACTGTTGTAGGGTGTGATGAGCGAGGGTATCTTCCGTGTCCCGAATACTTTTCCTTCTCTGCTCTAAAGCTTGCATGTCAAGGCAAACTGGTCCAGCTTTTTCTCTCCTGAAGAAAACCACAAATAGCGGTTTTTAAAATCAGTGTTTGCTGAAGAGGAAGAAAAAACAGGAAGACGAGGAATAAAAAGGAGAAAAGAAAATTAAGTTTAAAAAACAAAAGGAAAAGGAAAAGTAAGGACTAAATGACAATAAGTGAGTAAATGCCGAATGGGAAATGTGAAAAGATCACTGGCTTCTGTTTTTCAGGGGGATGTATCAAATGTGTAAATTTCCCAGTTTACATGACATGTCATCTGTTCAGTGACAGATTCATCAAAAAGTTAAGGAAGGGGCAATTTTTTTCCTCGCCTCTCCCCTTACTTTTTCTGGAGTGAACACAGAAATAACATCTAGCCCTGTATATAACAGCTGGAAAACCAAAGGCAAATGAAACAACTCTAATGTGGATGTCTGCTTCATCTTACCAGAGTTTACTGAAAAAAAAAACTGTGTGTAAAATACAACATTATAAATCCATATATACCCATTTTCTGTGGCTGAAAATATTAAAGTTCAAAAAAGTAGTGACTGAAGCCCCTGTAATTTGCATTTTTCAATTTTTTTAGCAGTGTTTCAATTTCCTCTCATATACCACTCTGTCAATCCACATTACTTACAATAAATAAGAGACAGAACTTTCCACTGTGCCTGGGAGTGGAGTGCTGAAATCCACATTTACCGTGTTGTCTGTACTTGGAGAACGTATAAATGCCAGCGAACCTCTACGTTCTCCCTGGTCATGGAAAGAAACAAGACATATTACAGCTGTAAAAACCTAGGACAAAATATGTATCAGAATACAAATAATTTGTGAGACTGTATTTATGCAAATGGCACAAGAAGCATGGGAGGAGTTGTATCTAGGTATCAAATAAAAAACATTTTTGGTCTTATGGTTTCTTTGTGTTGAGTGACATTATCCCAACAAACAAAGCAATGAGAAAATCTATTCCACTCTTAGAATTTTGAAGGGGTGAGTGATTTCCTGTGCCTCAATAGATTTGCAGTTTTACTTTGTACAGTGTTGCAATCCAAGAGCATAGGGATATACATACAAATGTTCATGTATCAACACATCACCACATAATACCAAATACAGAACACTAAGTTTTCTGTTCTCTACCAGACTGGAATCAACAAATATTAAGTGGTGATAGAAGTACACAAGACTATTAGAAAGAGGTTATGGCATGACAAGATGAGATACTGAAGAGATGAGATTTTCTTTCAGTTTTAAAACTAGCGTCACTAGAAGTGAACTGCTGGAAAAGCTCAGTTTTATGTCTTCATACTTTCCCCTACACCTTAAGTAATCTCTTGCTTAGCTAAAAAGTATATGTTGTGTGACATTGTGGTTACACAGGCTGAAACCATCTATGGTTTTGAATCACAGCAGAGAGAAATCACATGGCAGGTGTCTAAATTTTAAACAGTAATAATCAAGAAAAATCATCTCCCTTGCAGAACAGAGATTTAATCTACATTTCTCCAACTGTATGAAATACACTGTGGCCTCTGCAAGCAGAAAATTTGAGGTTAATAAAATTGAACTTTGGGAGAACATTGTCCCATTCATTTTCAAGTGAATCTAACTTTCTTTACAAATCAAGTTTAATGTTTCATACATGCATCATACCATATTGTCAGTGAAGGAATTTTAGCCAGAACAAGTTACAAACCACGAGTATTTTAAGTCACTTGCCTTCAGTTACTCTGGATTATTTTAATTTTTCTTGGTTTAGGTTCTCCCCTCTCAACTGTAAGGAATTTACTTAGATTGAGACTGAACTCTCTCAACTCTTATTTATTATATAGATGCAACATAGCAGCAGAGTTGAACAAAGAAAAAGATATAAAATAATTTCTAAATTGCTCAGTTTCTTGCAAGTCAGAAGAGATTGAGTAGCTGGGGGAGACAGGTCTTTACTTGTCCTGGGAGAAATGGCTTCAATTTCAATGTCAGCTTGTAATTCATAGATATTTAGTTCAAAGATATATTTGAAAAGTGAAGAGAAAGTTGTTAAAGCAATGTATCATTGAAGAAAATATTAAAGTGACAAAGGTGAAATGACTTTAGGATTCACAACTCATAATTAATTTCTGCTGGAAGAAAAATATGTTGCAAAACTTCTGTAGAACTTGGAGAACTTTCAGTTCTTTTTCTATTATTATAAGCTCGGTAGACATTTTCCCAATAGAATTTATCTGCAAGAAACAATATACAAAAATAGCATTTGGACTAATGCAACAAAGAGCAGTTCCCTTATGTTTCATCTCCCAAAAATTTATTAATCTAACTTTTAGTAATCTGTCTTTACTATATGGGATTAAAGACATCAAAAAAAATTCTGATCCTAAATCTGCATGTATTAGTGATCTATAAAGCCCTTTGCAGCTGTTAAAGAGAAGAAACACTGTAACAAATCTACTGAACAGATTCAACAGTGAATCTGAGCATGAGTTTCATGGTCATCCACCTCAAAGTCATTATCCAACTTTCTTCCTCTGAGGTGTGACCTAGAAAGTATCACAAGAAAGAAAATTAGTTCTTGAGCTCAGATGGTTTAAAAACCAAATAGATAATTTACAAAATCTCAAAAGGAAGAATTTTGTTGTCATGTGAATTGTTCTCCATCTTCCATACTAACATAATTTCTGAATTTCATCATGTTTTCTGAATTCAGTCTCAAAAAAAAAAAAAAAGTTTAGCAGTAGTAATAGTAGCAGTAGTATGAGTAATACTAATAATTTTTATTTAAATTAAAGAAATTAACTGATATATATCAGCTAACCATGCAAATTAATTCAATTGGAGATCATGGGCATGGATAGATTATAATTTCAAAGACGACTATTAAAATTATTTCATTTAAAACTATCCTTTATACTACATCAATACTGAGCATTTGTGGCTGTTTGAAGTAAGATGACTAATTTCATACTGAAGAAGATTAGGAATTCTTACACGATCAGGCAACATTGCTGGAGTACTTCTGCAGAAGATCAGAAACTTCCTTCAAACCACCTTTAAAATTTCTCTTGTTGCAAGTCTTAAGTTTCCCTAACTTTACAATTCTTTGATTGCAATTGATATTTGTAGTATATTTAACCCTAACTATTAACATGGGGGTGATGTTTCCTTTGAATTAAAGTTACCCTTCAGTTTCTGGCGGTTTTTTGTGCATGTTATAATGATCTGGCAGATTGAGATTAGCAGTCCCATACTTTGGCCATATATGCAAATCTTTTGGATGTGAGCTTCTTGAAATCAGATTTGTCATCACATAGAACCACTATCCTGCAGGAGCCAGAACCTGTTGACACATTTAGAAAGACAACACCCCTCCAGAATTACAGTATTTTTTCATGTAATGAATATAGAAACAAAGATAGTCAGTAAAATGCAACAGAAAAAGTACACTCAAGTAAGTACAATATACTAGTATTTGGTGATCAGGCACAGTATTTTGAGAACTACAGCTTCTTGAACCAGCAATACCGACACTCAAAACACATTAAAAAAAATTAAAAAAAAAAATAAGCAGATCTGAGATGGAAATAGTTTTCCTTTAGGCATCTCCTGCAATATATCAACTTTAGGTTATAATGTAAATTTTAAAAGATCAAATTTCTAATGATGCTATAATATGTCAACAAGTGTTCATAAGTACCTCAGCCACATAGCTAATTGCATCCTTCAAGTTGAGCTCATGGAAAACATTAAGGATTTGGTCTCTTGATTTTTGAGCAGACCTTCTCATCAGTATTTTTCTGAGGAATTTCCTATCAAAATTGGACCACCTGATAATTTAAACAAACTGTGTTAATGGCAACAAGCAATTTTAGTTTCAAAGCATTTTTAATTTAGCATAAATTATATTTTTTGAGCTAAACATTTTGAAAAAAAGGATGAACAGTGGAATGTGAGGGATTTGAGTCTTGAAGCTTTTCAGTTAGAATTAGCATGTAAAGAAAGTCAAGGAAAAGACTGCTACAGGTTTATGCAGCTGTCACAGAGCATTTAATCAGTTCACTTACCCAACACTACTACAAGAGTGCTATGATTACAGTATCCCATTTCAGAGTCAGTAACATATTTTATACTTTAGGAGATCATTCTACCTTATTTTTCCACTTCTGATTATGTTTCATTTTCTTCCCTTGTTAAGAAAGCAATCTGCTTTTCTCCAGTTGTATTGTAGGCCAGCCAGACCAGAAAATCAATTCATAATAACAGTGGCCTTCCAAAAGCTCTGCCAGAGGGCTTTATTCATGCCACTGATGTACTCTGCTCTGGGGATAGTAGCCATGTGTATTTTCAATTATTTACTCTTCCAAGATTGTCTGATTGTAGCATATCTGCCCTGTCATGCTTAAGAGTCTAAAAGTTTAAAGGCTGTTGTACTTTCTTCTGACTTCCTCAACACTTCGTCTAAAGGGCATGAGGCAGCATTGGAGACTACTGCTGAGAATGACTCTATCCCATCTTGTCCAATGGCCATTTTGAGTTTACAGCTTTTGATTCTGATTGCTTAAACCTTTCTGTGTTAAATATTGTTCACATAATTGCTAATTATTCCTCTTCTCTGGCCAGAACCTCTGACCAGCAAGCTCTAATTCAGGCTGCCACACATGCACCCATCAGTGAGGATGCTAGGGGTTGCCATCTCTTTATGGAAGCAGCATTTTCATGTACACAAGAGTACAAAAGGCGGGCTTGAGATGGTGTCATTCAAAATACATTAGTCGTCAAACCACATATTCAACCATGAATCTACATTAAGCTATTTCTTCTGTTCTTGCTCACAGGGATTACTTTCTGACGTGCAAGAAGTCACATGCTAATCCTCCACTTTAAAAATATAGCTCTGTCTTTGAGGCAATTTATCTAAACTGGAGATGTATTTGCCTATATTATATATAGCCTACTGAAATTTATTCCCAAAAAGTAAACTACAAACTTAGACCAAAAAAAAGAAGATGTTCTGTCTGTAGTGCCTCAGGAAAATTCTTCACTGCATACATGAATGAAGAGCAAAAGGAAAGGAAGGAGGTAAGTCTCTATAACTGGATGCAGGTGAGCAATTCAGCTTAAGTTGCAGTACAAGGTAGCTTCAGCCTAGGAATTGTATTGTTTTGTATGATAATGTTAAACCTAAACTAGTAAGACTCAGCTCTCAGAAAGCATTAGGGGTGTGCTGTGCAGAAAGTTGACACAACCACTGGCTTTTGGATTGGAATTGGCATGTTGAGTCAGCAAGAGGTTAGCAGGTCAAAACTGTAGTTGTTGGCACCTATTAAATGACCTGACTCCGGGGAGACAATGGCCTAACTTGAAATAACACTCTTAAGGATGTCCAGATTTAATGTCCTTTGTTCCACATTTATGCATCTAGGTCCATCACAAAGGTAACTCTTCACACGTACTTTAAAGGAAATGGTGTATCTTTCAGCTGAGTAATTCTGCTTCTCTCAAGATGAATCAAGTATAAACAGAGGGGATGGTTCATTATTGGTTTTTTAGGCTGAAACTGTCACATCAATTTCAGAGCACCCTCTGCCATAACTTTCAGAGGTGTTGAACACATCCTTGTAGAGATAGGATAAACAGCTAGCATAGTTGTAGCTGAGGATTCTCGGTGCCTCCACACATAAATAGTGTTCATGAAATGTAGTATTACAAAGATAAATCAGCATTGACATTCTAGGTGAAAACTTCTGCAAATACTCAGATCTCTAATCTTGAGAGAGAATGACCCTGTATTTGAACTGAGGCACCTGCAAAGGCATAATCTTAACTGTGGAAGAGAAAGGAGAGATTTTAGTTTTAAGGGGACAAAAATACATTGTTTTGACATTTGTTGTATTTCCCGTATTTTCAGTATGTAACCCCTTTAACTGCATTTAGCATCCTTGCTTTCCCTAAGCTCACAGGCTTAAAAAGTTATATGTATGTACAGATAATATTTCCTATCAGTATTTCATGATTCTAAATTGTTATTACTTACTTGTCTCTCAGATAATGATGCCCTATTTGTCCAGAAATGTCTTCTATAGCAGAAAGAATGTGATCAAAGGCCTAGGAAAATGAGAGTGAAATTAATATAAAGGTCCTGAACTTTCTAACCAGTTCTTTATAAATTCACTAGGTGTTCTTGAATTACAGGGGTCTCAAATGAAAAGGTACTTAAACCCCCATTTTAACATTCAATTTTAAAACTTTTATGGACTTGTTTTACCATCTCCATTTCTGCCCTATAAAGTACATCTGCCACTATTAGTGTAGGTGATGATTTCAGTTGAACAATTTCCCCAGTGATTCTTTTTAGATGTTTCAGGAGTTCATACTCCCCTCAGAGTAGAAGTAGGCACCATTCTTTTAATATCTAGGGCAAAATTTCATACCGAGTATATTAGATGGTTGATAGAAATCTGGAAGCTTACAACTCTTGATGCAAACCAAGGCAGCTGCATGTACAATTTGGCCTTTTTCTATGCATGGTTATAAACATTTCACTCTGAACATTGGAATGATTACTGCAGGATATACAGGTGCTAGGTTTGAAACAGCACTGCTGATTTGGCACTGGTGAGGCTGTATCTATAGTCCTGTGTTCTGTTCTGGGCCCCTCACTTCAAAAAGGATGTTGAGATGCTGGAGCATTTACAGAGAAAAGCAACGAAGCTGGGGAAGGGTCTGGAGCACATCCTGTAAGGAGCAAGCTGGGGGAGCTGAGGTTGTTACACCTGAGGAAAAGGAGGCTCAGGGGAGACCTTATCAATCTCTGCAACTGCCTGGAAGGAGGGTGTAGGCAGGTGTGTGTTGGCCTCTTCTGCTGTGTCTCAAGTGAAAGGACAAGTGGAAACAGTCCTCAGTTGTGAGAGGGGAGGCCCAGATTAGATTTCAGAAAAAAAAAGTTTTCACTGCAAGTGTGGTAAGCACCAGAATAAGTTGCCCAGGGAGGTGGTGGAGTTGCCATCTCTGGAAGAGTTCAAGAGCTGTCTGGATGTGGCACCTGAGCATATGATTTACGGGTGGTTATGATGGCGAAGTGTTGATGGATTGAACAGGATGTTCTTGAACATCTCTTCCAACCTTGATTATTCTGTGATGTCTTATAGTCCTCCATCCTTTAACCTCTATTTATATTGAAAAGTTATGTTTTCTTTTACTGAATGAAAACTTTATCATGTGTTGTGAAAGTGAATTGGAAGAGTTTGTGTTTCAAAATATTTTAAAAGGGTATTCAGTATATAATTATTCTGTACTGGGCAGCAGACTATCTTTCCATGTAATATGCAAGCTACAAAGCCTGCTTTCATACCTTTTCTAAAAATTAACAGCTTTTGAGGAGGAAAAATAAATTTATTTGGACATGTTTTGCCCTAGCAATCAACAATCATTCTCCTCTTTTAGATGAAGAGAAAGAAGCATATTCCATCTGTGCTGTTTCCCCAGTACTCCCAGCCCCATTGAATTCCCAAGTGAAAGACCAGAACTTTTATGTGAATATCCTCTCACAGGACTTGAACCAAAGAGAAACAGCAACTTATAACAACTTTTGAAATGTCTGAAGGATTTTGCTCTTGAAATGTGATAGCCCACTCTCTTACAAAAAAAGACATTTTCACTAACAATTTTGTTTTCTCTTAAGGTGTTCAGTAAAAATCCAAAAGACACCATAAGGTTTTTTAAAAATATCTTACTCTGCCATGAAGTTTCTCATTCAGTTTTGGTTCTCTGTGTTCAGTTTTCTTCACTTTCAGCCACTGTACCAAAGGTTTGATAGTCAGTCCCTAAGGATTGAAACATGACAATAAATACTTGGAAGTCTTCTTAAGACTTTCCTCCAGCTGGTTAAACAGAAATAAAGCACATTTGTGTGTTACTTGGTGGTTCTCATACTTTCTCAGTTGATTTCTGTTCCTTCTAGAAGATAAAATAATGCAGTACCCTCAGCTCCTATTATAAAGGTTTGAAAGGACAACAGTGAAAAATTATATCATCTATAGGAAGAATATAGTAGTGGAAGAGTAGAAGTGTTTCCTATGCCATTGGATGTGGTATTTTCACCACAAGTCAGGAGTTTGGGAGCACAACTAAACTTTCTGTAATACACTTCAGAAAATATTGCAAGCTGCTATGTACTGACATATTTTCATTTAAATTACCGGTTTTTCATCCAAAAAGTGTTATTTTGTTTGGACCTTAAATACTTTCTTGTCTCACTGCTTGCTGCTATATTTTAAAACAAGGACTGAAGCTCAGGTAGATCAGCTTAATGACTGTATCTCCCATTAAAAGCACTGCTCCCTATAGTTATTCATATGAGGTGAAGGATGTTTAATCAGATATTAACTTGGCACTATTAATACCAAGCAGCTAAGACTGAACAATTTTTAGCACAGAGGAAATTGTGTTTTGCCCCATGTGGTCCCACATGAAAACATAAAATAGGATCTTTGTTACTAAAATTACAAATTCAATTATGCTTTCAGTTCAGTGAAACAATATGCAACCTTCAGCTGAGAGCTGCTTCAAGCATTCAGTACTTTTGAGGGACTCCTTCTCCTTGCAAGAAACATGACTAAGAAGTTAAATTACCTGGAATATAACAGTAAAAAACACAACAATTATAGTTGTGCTGACAAACAGGTTTCTGTCTTTCACTTTATCCTTATCCAGAAGTGCAACAAGAGCAAAAGCAACTGCTCCTCGCAGTCCACCATAGGACATCACCACCTGGTCTATTATCTCCAGCTGGACAGTTCTGTAGCGGTTAAGAATCCATGTCTGTATAATGACACCTGTAAAAAACAAATGTCAGTGTGTCTAGAAATACCATTATGGAACATCAGTATCCCAGCTGGATGTAACAGAAATGGTGCCACCAGACTGCCTTTGTAACAATCCAGAACATCTACATCCCCCTCTTATCGCTGTGTTGCCCACTTGGTGTCTTCTCTTTACATCGAGCCAAAGGAATTAGGTGAAGCTGCTACTGTGAGCCAGGAGCTCTTCTGAGAGTGCTACCCTGTGGTAGAGGCACTCCAGGGAAAGTGTCACACTGCCATGTGCTGACCTTGGAAATTCGTTAAGAAAGAATAGATTTTCTAACACTGTAACCAGTGATATGCACAGGGTCAGTTAATAGAAACAGGTTAACACAGCACTGATTTAGGGAGTAAGTGTGGTACCCTTTGCAAATCACTGAAAATTATATTTAATTCATTGTCTTATGAAGGGTTGTTTAGTTATGCTAACACTATCTTCAAACCTATGGATGAGATGCTTCCTGCTGCAGGAGACTCTAAGGCTCTAACTGTCTCAATGTGTCCCAGAACTCGCGCCATACAGAGGGAAAACAGCTTCACCCCTCCTGTGACTGGCACGGCATGTGTGTCCCACGGCAGCAGGCCAGGGCTGTTAACCAGTGCAAAACAGATTCATCTCTTTTTAGAGAACTTTGAACTTGTGCCAAGAGAAGTGTCTTGTCACTGGAAGGAGGGCCTCTGGAGGAGAGGACCTTGGAAATGCAACAAATCTGAGTCCTCCAGGGAATGAGAACTGCAATTATGTAAGACCCAATATCATCAGTTATTTAGTAACTTGTCAATATCTAAGATCAATTACTTTAGTGGGTGCTTATTGTTATTGCTGAATATTTACTATTTACATATCATCACATCTATTACAGTATTGTTAACCACTCATTCGAGGAATACAGAAAGTGTCAAAGGCAAGGCATGGAAAACTCTTAAACACCTCAGGCACATTAGCAGTTACTGAGAGGCAGCTAAGTGAACAATGCTTGCAGACTATTTAAAAAAGGAGGGCAAGGAGCTAGGCACTTCATTCAGCTCAGGAGTTCTAGACAGAATAAGAACACAGAATCTAGGAAAATTGCCAGCTAGATAGATGTGTGACCTTTCATTTGAATTTAAGTCAAGACAAACAAGCAAATAAGCTGGTTTGATTTATTCCCAGGTGTAAGTACATACACCAAATTGCCATGTGTGTTACTCTCTACAAGTACTTCATTCTAGACCTTTGTTGCGATTTTAACAAAACTGCAGCAGAACTACGTAGCTGGGCAAATCATCGTTGGTATTTTGAAATGTTTGCAAACTTATATAAACCCAGTAAATCGACAGTAGGTAATCCCTACCTGCCCCAGCCTTATTTACTCAGTTTTTCATCAGTCCCTCAGAATTATTTCTTAAGCCAGAGAACCTGCAGTGTAGCTATGTATGGTCTGATATCACTGTGTGCCTAAAACCTGAAGTCAACCATAACATTAGCTTAAGACAATCTCTTTAGTGCCAAATTGAAAGAGCTGAAGAGCTGACAAGAGTCACATCTTTTGTTAGGCTGCAAGTTAAAGAACAAAGTCCATTTTACTGGGAGATTTTGCCAGTACCATTTGCTGGGTCAACAAAGGTTAGCCACTGACTGATTTGTGTTGACTGCTGGGCTACTCATATCCTCACACATCATCAAAAATGAAGTCCTGCTATATTTTCAGCACATGACGGAACTTACTGTAGAGCTTACTCTACTACTCTAACCCAAACCCAACAATAAATTCGACTAAGATAAATTGAATGTTTTAAAAGGAACAAACCTAGAACTCCAAATATTTTTTTAGGGAGAGGGCTGAAAGGATATGTGATTACATCAGCAGTATGGTGCATGAACAGGAAGGTCACCACCTTACCAATAACTCTATATACCGAGATGAAGACCAGAGTCAACAGAATAAAAGCTGTATTCCAAGTCCAGATATCTGGATCCACAGCTGAAATGCCCAGGAACATGAAGATAATAGTTTCTGCTCCACTGGCCATCATTTTCATAGTATATCTTACAGTTGTAGAAGACTGTTCAGATATGTTAGCCTTGACATATTTCTGACAGCAGATGCCACAGAAGGTTATCCTAGAAAAAGAAGCAATTGTTCAGAAAATACCTGTTGCAACATTTAATATTATTTCCATCTGTCTATCACATAGTGATAAAAACTCTGCATTAATTCCTAAGATACACTCACAAGTGCTTGTGGAGTCTAACCTAGGTAAAAAGCATGTCTCAAACATACATGCTGATGTGACCTCAAGTGACCTGAAGACAGCGTTTCATTAGGACACAACAGACTGTCATTCTCTTCAGATTACCATACTGCTTTCAAAGCAAAATTTTAAGCCTTGTTTACATTAGACATAATCTTAAACTAATGATCTGTTTGCAGAAAGATTTTCAGACCTTCAATGCACTTACTGTATCATCTACAAACATGACAAGCAGAACTGAGAAGGAAGGGTATGCCAGGAATCAATGGATACTAAGAGAAGAAAAGATCACAGAGGTACTCAAACCAGAATAGGCAACATTTAGGCAAACCTTACTGGCCAGCCAAGACAGAGAGAATAATGACATTCACACACTGCCTTAGAAAAATATTGATTTAGTTTCAAATTATAGGGAAAAATGTCAGCACAAATGGACAACTCTTAAGTTTGAAATATTATTAATAACAGAGATGAAAGAATCATATCTGTATTTAGCAAAGGAGATCTCATGTTGCTCAGCAGGTACTGGGAAACTTGCATTCCTTTTCAAGGCTGAATGACTATATTTGCAAACTATTATCTAGTGCAGTGTGAACATAGTATTATCCAGCATAAACTTAATGAGTGTCATATTCAATAGTTGTCCCATATAATTTAGGTTTTCCTTTCAATGTTTTTAAAATCCATATTCCCTTCTCATCCCCTTCATAGGCAGTAATAAAAAGAGACTTACGCTAAGATGGCAGAAAGAGAAAGCATCTCTGCTGTGAGGTAGGACAGGTAGGAAATGATAAACACAAATCCAGGTTCAATGATCCTCACGTGCTTGGTGAAACGACTGACCAATGAGAGCAGGAATGCAAAGAAAATGCCAACCAGTGTCCCACCGAGGCTCACCACAAAGAATGACACTGAAAAACAAAACACCTAACACAGCTTAAACCATAGAAGTATGATGGTTTGAACTAGTTCTCTTCCAGAGAGAGGATGGCAAATGGGCAGTAATCACAGAAAAATTTGGAGGACGTGTCAAATTCATTTATTGGCTCAAGGCTTTTGAGCACATGGTATGTGAATGTAGCATTCTGTAGAAATACAAGGCTACTTCTGTTAAGCCTCACTATTTTAGTTTTATTCAAACCACTGCATTTCTTTGTACTGTTTTTTCCCCATGTTTTGTAAACAAAGGCTGTTACCAAAACATATTATAGAATATGACAAAGTTATTATTAAAACATTCATTCATAAGATAATTTAGTTTCATGCAATTCTTGGAATGGGAAATAGTGACTAAATTTTCAGGCAAAATTTCTTGGTAGTTACTGGCAAACATTACTCAACGGTGATCAGTGATAAGGAGTGGCAGCACCTGTATGCAATCTTGACTTTCCTGGAATGCAGGGAGAGCATGGGCTGAAATTAAGGAAATGCTATTAAATACAAAAAAGAAATATATAGCTGTCAGATTTGGTGGTCTCAGCAAATGAACTCCACATCTGTTGAGTCTTCTCAAAAGAAAACAGATCCGATTAAGTTTCCTGAATATCCAGGAATATTTATTTATTTATTTTCTTAAGACATTTGCCTATGCCATACAAGTATGTGAATATGAGTAACAGTGGAAAGGACTGAAAAATAACAGTTGCCAATAGGATAATAGTAATATTTTGTTTAAAATACTGCAGTTATACACCAATTGTGTGATTCAGAATTCACTTCTACGCACCTATGCCTTTGAGACATTCAATCCCCGTCACATTCGCTGCACCTATTGCAACAAAAGAGTCAAACACGTTGTACAGCACCTGGAAAGAAAAGTAGATTAATTTAATAATTGCCCCTGAATTGAGCCTATTAAAGTAATCTCCTCTGGGGCTTCAATGTTATGAAGTCTGAAATTGTGTTTGACTAAGGGAAATTCTGTCTGGAGGGAGAATTTTATATTTTCTCAAAATAAAAGAAATGCAGTGGGCCAAGAAGAAACAAAAACAAAAACATATATATGTGTTTTCTAAAACATTTCTCTCTGTAAAATCCAGGTATTTGAAAGATTGATTTACTCACATGTATAAGAAAAATAAGATACTAAATAAGACAATAATAAGATGCTAATAATAACATACTGGATGTTGAACATATATAAGTTGAACATGCAAGAGAATATAATAATTGTGCTAAAACTTTTAAAACAATTGACTAACAGTGACTGAGCTGAAAGTAAAGAATTCACCTTATCCATACTATAACCTAAGGAGGTTAATATGAGCACAATTTTTGAGACATGCCAATTTAATCTGTTCTTGGTGCCTCCAGTAATGAGGGAGGATTTTACTATGGCTTTCTCAGCTTTCCTTGTTACAGCTAAACTTGATAATTCTGATCATATTCACCCAGTCACAGTGTGCAGGTTACTTTTTTTGTTTTTAAACAGCAGTCTTTTACATATTTATGTTTAAAAAATGCTGTACCATCCACTTTCTTCTGTCTTCTAGTCTTTCCTTTTTCAAGGTAGTAACTCCACTGTTTCAAATTTCTTCATAGGCTGTGCTTTCTAGCTCTGGATCATACTTGCTCTTCTGTTTTTTCATCAATGAACAATCAAACTTTCTTTTATTTGTAGACTGGTTTTGTTCATTTCACAGTAATAAAAACTGCTTTCCTTCAGAAAGCCAGTGATGTTGATATTGAGTTCATCAGAGGTTTGTTTTAATATTTGTTTCTGGCAATACCCCAGAAGTTTTTATGGTACTGATATCCAAGGGCAATTAGGTTTCTCTGGAAGCCATACTGTTGTTTTCAAACTCATGTGAACAATGAGGCTGCTGCCAATGACCTTGGAGTGCTTTGCTCCCTTGGCTGCAAAACATTAAGGCGCTGAGCCTCGTGAACATTTTACCCTTCCTTGCAGATAGGCAAGGGCAGGAACAGGAAATGATCCAAAAGTGAACTGAAGCTGCACAGCAACTTGGTTCATAGCATCTTTCTGCCTTAGGACTTTCTGGTCCCTGAACACTAGCACTGCAGTACAAAACTATTGACAGCTTTATTCTGGGAGAAAAAAATTGTGTGAAAAGTAAAGGTGTTTAAATCAAAATAAAGATATCAGTAGAAATCTGAAATACTTTTTAGTCTATTAGAGACTTTCTAAATTTAAAAAATGTTTGCAAAGATAAAAAAACCAAACCCAGGAACTTTCTAAAATGTCACACAATTTCTTTACAAAATTGGCTCTTTGTTATATATCTGCTTGATAAACATCTGATCAAAGTAAAACTCAGGGAGCAGGCATAAACACTTTGAAGAGTATTCTCTCTCACTGGTTGAGGTATTCATATAAATTATGGGCAGAACACAAATATGGAGAAAAAAAATGTATGTGCATAAAAATAACAGCAAAGGAAGGATTAAAATCTCTGGAACTAATTTCATTACGTCATGAAAGCCCTGCCTAAACAGAAAAGGCAAATAGAATATGCACCTCTGAAGCTTAATTTGAAGTGTCCTTCCCAGGACTGTGTATTTTATGTCACTTACCAGCTCCAAATAACTTTCATGCTCAAACATCTGGTGTTTGTAAGCAAGACAGAAAACACCATGAGCTGCAGTACAATAGCCCATGAGTAGATGCACACAGAGAATACAGTATTTCTTAAAAGGGGAAAACACACTTCAGAAGAAATCCCTTTGAGTTGGGTTGACTTTGGGATATGTAATTTACTTACCACAGTTACAGCATCGTTCAGAAGTGATTCTCCAAAAACAATGATGAATAGAACTTCATTGACGTGGACTTCTTCAAACACTGCCAGAACAGCTACAGGATCCACAGCAGCAATTAAACTGCCAAAGAGGAGGAAGTCCAGCAACCCAGAGTGCAACTGACCTTCAAAAACAAAGCAGACAAATTATAAGCAGAATCATCTCTGTATAATCAATAGTAATGACAAACTGGGATATTATAGATCATGCCAAGTATGGGAAAATAGAGATGTCAAGGTATCCAACTGGAAAGCATGTTACAGTGACTACTTTAAAAGTTCTGCTCTGAGTCATGTTGTATCCTACAAGTTTTGT